TGAAGGCGGGGTCTGAAAGGAGGACGGGCCTAGGCAAAGCCCAGGTGGGATTGGTGTGTTGGACTGGAGGAAAGACTGTGGGAGGAGCCTAGAGACAAATGGGCGGGGCCTTGAAGGAGCGGGCAGAGGGGCTTAGGGCGCAGACCTGGATGATTAGCGGCGGGGACTTATGTAACTGGCGGGAGGCAGTCTGGTGCGGACCACAGGTAAAGGCCGGGTCTGCAGGGAAATGAGCGTGGTGGGGCGGGGCCCAGGGTCCTCACCAGACAGCGGCCTGCTATGCAGAGGCCCTGGGCCCTCGGGGTGCAGGGGGTGCCATCCAGCACACGGCCAAAGCTGTGGTAGAAGGCGTGGCCCTCAGCCAGGCAGTTGAGGTCACACAGGTTGGGTGCTGAGGGCGGGAGGGGTGTGTGAGTCCGGGGCCTCCGTCCATCGCCAGGCCCTACAGCCAGCTCTTCGTAGCTCCCCAGCCTAAACTCCTACACACGCCAGGCCAGCCCTCACCGCAGCCTCCTTTCCCCAAGCTCTGCCCTCTTGGCGGCCCACCTCCATCCTCCCCGCTCCAGGCATGTACGCTTCGTTTTGGTGAGGCGTGGTCTCTGTACTACTACTCGCTCTGGAGACCCGGCTGGCCTCGAACTCACAGAGATCCGCCTGCCTCTGCCTCTCTTGTCCTGGGGTTAAAGGCGTGCGACCCATAAATTTTCCTACACCCCAAGTCTTCTCCGTTCCCCACGGCTCCATTTCTCCATGCCCTGCCCCTCCCAGGCCACACCCCTTCCCTGCCCTCCTTCCCATTCAGGTGTAATTAAACTGCCCCGGAGCTTGGCTGTACTACAGGCCTTCAGGGTACCTCAGTTTCCCCTCCCTGTCAGATGAGACCCGCAGGCTAGCTGGCATCAGACCCTGCCGGGGTGGACAAGGCCAACCTAGTCGACGCTGTGGGGGTGGGGTGGGGCACGTGCAAGGAAGTTGATGGAATGTTCTCCGTTTTAGGCTGTTCTTGTCTGTCTCCACCACGCCGGCGGCCGAGGCTGCCTGTCTCCCTTCAATCTGGAGGCGTGCTGCCCGGGGCACCCAGTTATATAAGCTGCTATTTTCAGCTCCGTGCGACAACATTTCCTGTTAGTGGGATCAGCTTGAAAACTGTTGGCCTCTGGATAAAACTCTAAGTCAATCCTCAGCCTGGAGTTTGACCCTGTGCAAAAGGGATCACTTTCTTCCTTCACCAGCTCCTACAGATGCTTCAAAACCCCATTCCAACGCCTGCCCTTCTGGGTATTTCTTAATTCCTTTCAAAGTTCTTTTTCTTTTTAACCCCAGGAGGTCAGGTTACTCACCCCCATGGAAGGGCACCCATTGATATGTCTTCTGGGTGCCCAGGACAGGGTGGCCATTGTAGAGAGCACACTGCAAGTCTCGGAAGGGTATTGCCCCTGGGGGGCAGTCCTGGGAGAGGATATAGATGGATAGATAAAGACCTGGGAAACCAAGCAGGGGTGCTTGGGGGTGGGCGTAAAAAAGCAAGAGGGATTAAGGAAGGGCCCTAGGCCTTACCGGCTGCTGGCACACCCGGTATTCGTGGCTGTCCCCCCAGCAAGGTTCCTCCCCGGGAAGTCTGCAAGAAACAGGGTGGTCAGAGTGTAGCAGGACTCCCCTACTTCAGGGACCCCCTTCCCATCACCCGCCAGGCCCCCCTCCGCCCCCACCAGCCCCACCCGCATTCCAGCAGGCTCCGTGGGATTAAAGGGCACACTGCGTGTGTGGGCAGGCAGAGGGCGCGGCCGGGCAGGCGGCGGAGGGAGGGGCTCCCGGCTTACTGGACACAACGGCG